CTGGAAGCTATTACCTATGACTATTTCCTCTGCTGGCTTCACTTCCCTGCTATGGAGAACTGATTGCAGTCAGAGTCCCTGCGCTGTGCCTGAAGGACTGGATCTATACTCTGATCAATAACGGTAGAGCTCCAGGATGCTTTAGAGTTGAATTGCATGTGTGTCTAAAAGAAAACCTGCACATGCACACACATGCATGAAACCAAACAAATATATTAATGTCAGAGGATTTAACAGATATGTTTACCCAGAGAAAATGTGATAAATATATTAGTAAGAATGGGGCTGTAGTACTTCATTGGATGGATAAGGGTTCAATGTTTTACAAAAGAACAATTAGCTATCAACATGGGCTGTTGTCTAACCTGTAAAGTTTTTACAAGATGGGTTTTCAAACCAGATGATGTGATACTACAGTCCACTCAGACTCTAACTAAATTGTCCTCAGAAATGTAACTGAATTGCTGCTCACCTTTCTTAAAGGTGACCTATCATGCAAAATGCACTTTTGTACGTCTTTTATACATGAATATGTGTCCCCGGTGTTCCCGGCTGCAACGGATCTGATACAAGCTGATCCAGATTTGAACACTTCTCTGACGTCACAGAAGTGGCGCTACGGCTATTGGGCCAACTCCACCAATCAGGAGGAGACAGCCACGGACATTGCCGTTGGAAAGCGCTGGAGACGCTGTAGCACATATGCCAGGCCTGTAGATGGTGCTGTTCTCACAGAATCAGCCCATGCAAAGACAGTGTTAAATTGAGCGAAATGAGGAATGGCTAAAATGCATGATCTGTTTGGTATTTTGAAAAATAAAAAGTATAAATATGCCTTATATAGGTATGGTCCTACACTATATTATTCAAATATAGCATGATAGGTCCACTTTAAGTGTTTGCAAATCAACTTTTCTCACATTGTGTTTTGCCAGGACTGGTCACTACGAGTATAACAGACATCTAAATGTCATATTTAATATCATTATTTAGTTGAAAGGGGAAGACATAATACAAATATATTGTAAGTTACATGCCTACAAGCCAACAGCTGCTCCCGTTCCACTTGTGTCTTTCTTTCATGAAGCTAAGAGGTTGGTTTGGGATAAGCAATTTCACCAAATGTCAAACGCAAGTGAGCCAGATGTTTACATAGGAAAGATGTGAATGGAGAAAGGAAATGAGGCATACAGTATTGCTCCTATAGTATTGGGCTGTGTGGTCCAGGTAGTTATTTTACCCCTTACTGTTCAATATCCTTCCTAACGCTTCTGTTTTGCTGCTTTTACATGTCTTTCTTTGCAATTTTTCCTTTTACCTTTGTGGTCAACCTTTCCTTTGTTCTCCATCCTGCCACTATCTCATCCTATTTCCTGTAAAATACGACCGATAAGAAATAAATCCTTGTGTGACTGTGTGTGAGAGATCTCTGATTACCAGCTGCCTTGTCAGCAGACTGAGTTTCTAAACCCAGCTCTCTGAAAACAGGTTTTAATTAAAACGTTCACCCAATTGCTTTCCCTTCTTTTTACCTCTCCTTTTATTTCTCCCAGTCTTATTTGATTTGAAAAACAATGATTAGTTGCCAAAAAAATCTTTTCATCTATTGTTTCATTAATTTCCACAATCTGGGGAACACAGGGCTGAGAATTGAAAACTAATCAAATTAAGAAGTGTTCAGTTCATTCAAGATGACAGCAATGATATCAGTTAACACAGCGTTCATTCCTTTGTTGGCTCCATACGATGAGACCATTAGTCTCGCACTCCACACTTAATCCTTCCTCTCATGAATCCCTTTAACGATAATGTGGAAAGCATAAAATAATTAAGAAATTGCAATGTTTTTCTGATATCATCTGATACAGATACGATGATCAATCTGCATCACAAAGAGGTACAAGTTCTGCTTTCGAGGCAAGACACGAGTGGATCTTGGCATTGTCAAGTAAGTAAGAATACAAATCTCTTCAGTTTGTACCTCTACCAACCAGATTAACACCTTTGGACTGCCACATTACTCTGGGGAAAGTACAAGTTTAGGAAAAACCCCATCACTGTGTACTAAAAAGAAGAAGAGAGAACTGCAGCACAGTATGAACAACTTAGTTGTCATCAAATGAAGTCAAGTGAGGAACGCTCGAGAACTATTGTCAAGATATTGATAGTACTGATCCACCCAAACAAGTGTTAACTCACTAAGAGACACTGCAAGAACAAGGCAGGCCAACACAGGGTAACATAAATGAAATACAAAACTTTCAAGTGACCCTCATACTCAACAAGTCTGATAAAGTGAAATCTATCACGCAGACAGAGATGTAGCAGATCTGATTCATGCCAAGCCAAGGAACCCTGTTTTCTGTCTGGCTGATGCAACGGTCCACCGGCTGCTTCCTCAGACCCCATCTGAACCTAATTGGCAGCCAGAGAGCAGAGATTAACACGGTGACCTGCAAAGGCTGCTGGTAGGAGTGACACAGATACACCCGGACAGCTGGGTAAACGACTGGCAAATGACTGGCATAGTCAAAAGAAAAGACAGTGAGGTTAGACAAAAAAATCAATGTCCTTTTGAGTGTAACGACCTCTTAAAGTTTATGAGTATCCGATCTTACAAAACGAGCCTGAGTACTTGAGTGTGTCATTACTGGGAGACAAGCAGGCAGGAGTGCTGCTGCAGAGGGGAGATATGCTCTATTATGCACCTAAGGAAAGCTCTTTTTTTTGCCGAATTAGCAGCAGAGAAATCTGAATCGATCTCAATGTCATCTGCATTCCTAGAAGACAAAATCATTCAAGTACAGCCAGAATAAGAAAGCTCTCATCTGTTTAAAACAAATGGCTGCATGGTTCATCAATGCCCAGTGTTCATTGTCCCTGGGATAAAAGTTTAACAGGCTGATATTTGTTTTGATGCATTACTTTATGTTTGTGTTAGAAAAAGCTGTGTTATATGTTCTTTTGTTAGTTTCTGCATTTTATTAGAATATTTCAAAATCTGTTTTCACAGCCAATGAACAGTGCTTTTTTATGTAAATAACAAAGTGACAGCCACTTTGTGGAATTACTATTTGGCTCTTTACAGTAGGCATTGTTATCGCTGCTAATGTATTTCTGTCATTGAAAGCAATTTGCATCAGGATAAAAGCTTCACACTGATTTTTTCAGTGGTGTTGACAACTTCCAGCCGAAAAGATCGTGTGACCTTGAGTCATAAACAAACACTGTATTGGCCCACGTGTGTGTGTGTGTGTGTGTGTGTGTGTGTGTGTGTGTGTGTGTGTGTGTGTATGTGTGTGTGTGTGTGTGTGTGTGTGTGTGTGGGGC